CTATGGGCATTTCTCTACTGTTCCATGATATCCTATCTGGGATCAATGTTTCAAAGTTCCCGAATATTCAGTATTTGGTATAATCTTCCAATGTATCCAGTATATATAAATTTAAATGCAATGTACCTTAAATAACCCAATATGGATAATCGCTAGTTCCTCATTTTCGCAACTACTCTTGCAGTATGATCTCGGAAAAATCGTTATATAAATTGGAAGAAATTAGCGAAAATTTATATTCGTTAGGTCCAATAAAATAACTCCAAGTTCGAGGTTATAGATAAAATCCGAAGATCAAAGATTAAAAAATAGAAGAGATCCTTAAAAGTGCAAGTACTTTTATTTAGTTTTTCATCTGCATATTTTTGATTAATTTTACTTTTTTATCATAATTTGTTGTTTTTTTCTGTAACGTTGATGTTAAAATTAATGCAATGAACCCATAAGTCAAAGATGGTATTAAATCGTACATGTGTAAGATGTGTCTTGCATTTCGTTCTTATTTTAGATTCTATGATTCTTACATATTCATACATTTTTAGTTTGTCTCTGATTTTCTTCTGTTCTTTATTAGCAGTCACTCTATGTTTGTAAATACACGTATGAGTGTGTGTTTTTTTAGAGGTGGATTAAGTGGTATTATCCAACCATACATCCATCGGAGGCATCCCTCGCAATAGCAACAATAACATAGGAGCAGCAAGACACTAAACAATACACTCGTATACACACATGTTTGGACAATCTCAACGGCAGTCAGTCACTTGCACAACACACTCAGTCACTCTTACTCACAAATATTTTAGTTTTGAAACTATTGGATACACGTAAAGAAATTGAAGTGGTATAATGTAGATGATTTTAATAATTTTGCTAAATATTTTTGTCTTTCAAAAATTCAAGAAATACTAGTTTAAAATTATTTTCGAATTTCCTAAAATTTAAAAAAAAGAAGTTTATATCATTAATACATGTACATATATTTTTTTCAGTGTAAATTCTACATGCTGCATTTGATCTGTATAATGTTTGGTGTTGGATTTTGTGTTGGCGTTGTTTGTTGGATGATACTTCTTTTTGGCTGCTGGATGGATGGATAATGCTGTCGCTGCTCTGGCTGCTGCCTGCATTAATATGTACAAATTGTTTGTATTTATTTCAAATAAGATTTCTTCCTCCTCCTCTTTATATTTTGTCATTTCATTTTACATTTTGTTTTTGTTTTCTTATTTACGAATACGTATTTCAATTCATCTTGGAAAATAAATAGGGAAACGTGCTTCGGTATTCGGTCCTTCTTTTACTGTAATGAATTTCATACAAATAAAAACTCTATAGCACATGGAGTGGAGAAACTTTAACAGCAGACATCCAACCACTCACACACATCAATTCAGTTCAATTGGGGAGAAGAGGCAACAACCTGACAGGGATTAAATTGAGATTAATATTAAGGAACCATATTTACTTGTATTTTAAATACAAACAAGAAATTTATTTTTATGTATGAATATTCATAATGAATACAATTTTTAAATGTATGACGAGTATGAACAATGTTTATATTTACATACATATAGATATACAAGTATTTTTTATACAAATTCATATTTGATTTTTGATGTCACGTTCAATTGTGAATTATTTTTTATGTAAAATTGAAGCAATCGTACAGATGTTGAAATAAATTGACTTGTTGTATAACCTAACATTGACTTCAAAATGATAGACCAAGTCCACACGGTCTTCTTCAAAATGTTATACATACATACATATATATATTATTCTTCTGGCGATGCATCAACAGCATTCTTTACAGATCAATTACATCTAAATTTGAAAAATATGTTCCATAACAATTAATTTTAATCAATCCAAACTCAAACTTTTTCTCAAAGTATGCCTTATCAAGTTAAAGAGCTTGAACATCATCAAAAGTAGCCATTTCGGCAATGATGAAAATTGATACCATTACGATAACGTGAAGTGCAAGTTATCAAGTATTAATTTTCTACAACCAGATGAATCAAAGGCAAAGAATTAAATATTTTAAATGCAATCCCCATCAACTAATGACCCAGTCCAGTGCTTTCTGTAACCTTTGAAAGCCCTCGCAACCACACTACTGAGATGTGCCTGTTGATTCGGCAACAACAGAGTTGTATTTGGTAGTCCGAAATACCCAGTCAATAAATCAGTATCTCTCTGTATATCAGATAATGAGACAAAAGATGTAGGAATTTCTAGGTCAATTCCCATTAATTGCCCTGAAAAGTTGAGTGGTGGATCTCAACCATAAGTCGCTAATTATGAATCAATATGCACCCTGTTGAGAAGGCAACAGCACCGAGAACTTCCCTGAAGTAAAAGGTCTACTAAATCAGTACTAGTCTCCTGTCGGGCATAGGAGTCTTTCCCGATCGTTCACCAACTTACATCAGTTCCATTCTCAGATAAAAGAACGATCTACGGAATGACAAGCAACTACCAAGTGTCAATCTAAAAATTCCCCAGTTCGACCCCATTTCAAATCATTATAAGGAAAGGCCGAAGATACATTTGATCATCACCAGTTTATAGTCCCGGCAGACTAGAGGTATTGGTATCACGTCTTATCGCCGAAATATTGCAATAACACCAAGATGAAGACTTCACCAAGGTAACATGCCCTCGGGGGATATTCTGTGGGAATTATTTTCAGATGTATTATATCCAAAATAAGGCGGTAAACATAACACGAGGTAAACATAGTGCAAGAATTCTCGCCAGTTTATCTAAGTTTTCTTTTGTTGTTTACTTCAGATTATTATTTCTTGATACATACATGTCCCTAAATTCTCCGGTAAATGCTAGGGGTTTTCATCAGCTATGATTGGTTTCGCAATATTAATTAATTAATTAAAATAAATATGATTAAAATATTAAATTAAATACTTAAATTAAATATTGTTAAAATAAAAAATATTAAAAATTTTTTTGAAATATGCTACCGAATCCAATTACATAAATTACTTACAATAATACTGCTTTAATTGAATTGCCACTTATTTTCCAATTAACATTTTTAATGTTCAGTTAATCAATAGTATCATTTTGATTATTAACATACACAATTGTATTTAATTATTTCTTGTAGTTGTAGTTTGATTTCAACAAATCGCAACGAAAAATTTTTCTAAATTTATTGTTATTTCTTAAATTGGAATTTTTACAATTTAATTCAGTTTTTGATCAAACACTTTCCCTTATTCCCCGCTATTTTAATTACGAAGCAAATCAGAATTATCCGACTTAATTGGAAAATTAAAAAAAAAACCTATCCGTTAACAATAAATTGCTGAATTCATTCATAGTAAAGACACAAACCTTATTATAAATATTTCAGCCATCTTTTGAAAATAACCTAATAAACTGTTATACTCAGCAAATACAGCAACATAAAGCGTATAAGAACTACCCTGTAAACATTATTATCCATGTTGCTAGGTTCTAGTCTTTACTAATTATTTCCTACACTAGATGGCACTTTTCTGTAACGGGGATAAACTTCTTGCAATAAAATTTTAGAACAAATATACATTTTTAAAAACAAATTAAAAAATTACATAAAAGATTTTTTAAACCTTTCAGACATTATTTAGGTTTGATCTAAATATGTATTCCAATTTTATAACTGTGAAAAAAGTTTATTCTCTTACTTCCACGATACGAGACTGCATCCACATCAAATCACAATATTAAATTTTGAATTGAAGTTTAATGTAGTTTTTGCTAGACTTTGGACTATTTCAATGATTTTTCTATAGACTAGTCTATTAGTAAGACTAGGAGGGAGTTGTCTATTATTTCGTCTTTTGAGTAGTATATAGTCTACTCTATAGAATATTCTATTGTTTAAAGACTACTCTATGAATTATTATTTGTCTATTCTATAGAGTTTATAGTCCTTAGGGAAGCAATAGACTGTATGTATGGACCAATCAATTGACTAAATGGACTTGTTTACTGACTTGTCTAATGACTAATCTATGGTCAGATAATAAATTTAGAAATCTTAACAGTTCATATGTAGGCATATTGATTATATTATTGCCAGGGTTACTGACTAATGAAGTCGGTTTGATATGCGTACGTAGTTTTACTTCAAAGTAATAAAAATTAAAAAAAAAATTGGTACAATCGGAATCAAAAGACTGTTTTGTGCAACTTCAAAATTTCATTTGTCATCCCTAGGTTTAATATAAGAGCCCTAACCGAATACTCTATAAAGGTAAGGGAGCTTGAGGAAGTTAACCTGACGAATACAAAATCTTTCTACGCAACGATGGAAACATGGGCTAGAGTAAATCATACGGTCACTTGGAATAGCGGAACGGTGGGAAAGATCACTGAAATGCGATGGAGTCATCTCTACAAGAGTAAGACGAGAAGTCTTATCAAAAAAAATCTGTTGTTAGTATTATGGTAAGTATTTTTTTGGATTCAAAAGAATACAGAGCATGCGGAGGGCACAGTAAAAGTAAGGAACACTGATAGGAAAATTCTTGGGAACTAAGGCTCATAATTACCGACATAAAATTAAATTAAAGAACATAAAGTCTCGATTATTTATTTAAACTCATATTCTATTCAAAAATAAAGCATTTTTCAATGTACAAAATAAAAAATTATAAAAAAATAAAATATCAACAACATTGTTATACTCTTTAACTTATAAATTTAATAACATTGAAATAAATTTTAATTCTATATTCAGGTTTTTTTAACTACAATTAAGAAAATAAGAAATTAAATAATATTCTATAGAACCATCCTCTCTGATTATAACAGCAGCAGTGATAGGAATTATTTGAATTTAGATATATATTATCAATTAAACTTATATAAAAATCTAATAAAGGAAAAGATTTTTGTTAAATTTTTAATTCTATATTTAATAATGGACTTTTTGTGGTAACAAATAATTTATCCTATACTTCTTGAAAAAAAATATACACTCGTTTTAACAAATAATATTTAATGATTATTATAATAATATTTAGAAGATTTTGGTATATTCTAAATTAATGATGGAAATGATGTGATGGATAAATGAACAATTTGTTCGATATGTGTTTTACTGTCTTGGGTAGTGAAGTATGGGAGGATTTACGTCAATAAGGGTCCATTGCAGCCATTATTTAAACGATATTCAGCATAGACCATACCGGTATTGTGCCAATGGTAGAAGGCAGCCAAAATAAATAGATGCCACCAGTTGTGAGAATGACCGAAGTAGTCAACTTTGCCGGTCAACCAACGTTCTGGAATCTTGGCTGCATATATCACAAAGGCAATGGCACACAAAGCGTACATGGTTATAACACGGGGTACCATTAACTGAAATTATGAAAAAAAATGTCAGAAATAGAATTGAAAATTTAAAAAAATTTGATTCGAACTGACCCCCACTAATTCATTTTCTAAACCACCCATTTTTACAGTCCAATGTCCCAAGGGTATTACACCATATGCTGCCCAGGTAAATAGCACAGCTATTTTGCCATTCAGGGAAACATTTAGTTTTGGAATTTGTACAATCATGGCTAAACCAAACATGCCTAAAGCGATCACAGAGTAAATTATTCTAAGATTCTGTAAAAGATAATGAATGACAAACGTTAAAATTTTCAAACTATAATTTCATAGTATATTCTCTAGAGAACTCACATTAAAACACCAAAAGGCGTAATACATGCTGCTAATGTAAATGGCCACCAAAGACAAGGATATACCCAAATAATCCACCGATAAGAATAACTCATAATGTTCCTCCGATTTACAAGAGAATATATGATAAATCGATGATAAAAGCATACACAAGCAGAAACAAATCAACAGGCACACCACCAGTATTTGATCTTCCAATTCGGCATGAACTTTGAGAAATTGAAAATCAAATATAGTCAAACCGATAAACATAAGACAGCCGCACAAGTGAGTCCAAATATTGATCTGTAATTAGAAAACTTATAACATTAGTTTCTCTAAACTTTAAAAAGAAAGTAATCACTTTACTCACCGTTTCATTGGTCCACCAAAATACACTCTGTAGACATAATTTTGTGGACAGGAATGTTCTATAACCACCTCTAATATAGGGATTAAATTTTAAGTGATCAGGTGCCTATAAATAAATTATAATTTTTTTAATAAATTAAATGTTTTATTTTAATTTAGCATTTAAAAACATTTTTTTAACAATTGAAAAAATTTTAGCTACTTGAGTTTAAAAATTTTCCGCCAAATCAAACAATAGCATTTTTTTTGTAAATTTATTTATAAATTTTAATTGTTTAAAATTAATTGTTGTTGGGCTGTTCAATGTACGTAATAAGAAAATATTTGGGAATATGTAAATAGAATTTGTTTTTTATTTGTTTTTATTTAATTAATTGTATTTATTTTTTTATTTAATGCTTTCAGGTCTAACCTATATGTAACCAGGGGCCAAGATTATTGAACTCTTTACAAAACAAAGTAATTTGGCAACAAAATATATTGTGATTAATCAATCAGTTTATATCAAATAGATGTTTAATAGAAAATAGATTTTAGTCTATTCAACAAGTGCATAATAGGGTTTCTATGCTGTAGAAACTTTTCTAAATTACTGGGCAATTTTAGTATATTTTCATAATAGTTTTCATCTAAAAATTTCAATATTTTTACACCCAAGTAAGTAATTGATGCTAAGACGATCTAGTAGTGTTCTGAAATTTTCAATTCGTAAGGTTTGTTTGGTACTAATAATGAGAAATATTGGTCTGCGATTTCACCTAGCCCCATGGAATACAAATTTGACCGAAGCTCTAATATAAGGTCGCTTCACATTACGATATTAACAAGTTTTATAAGAACCTAAGTTGCTTTACCAAATTTTAATCAGTTCTGTCCATAATTTTCCGTAATCCAATTATTTAAACAAAAATTTTGATAAATAACACTCGACAAAAATTATTTTGTTCTTATGACTTGAGAATCTCTCAATGTCATATTTACAATAATGACATAATGCAAGAATGATCTGGGTAATACCTAACTTACATTACCCTATTTTGTAGAGAGGCCAAGACAACTTATAATCCAAAATAGGCGGGATATCGAAGTTGATGAAAGTAATAACTGGATGCTCGGCCAAGGTGAATTATCTGTGTGGAAACCCAATGGATCTAAAACTGCATTAGTATACATTACGGAGCATCTGACGAGTGGTATCATCTTGTCAAAACAGAGATTCTTCTTTGAATCTACTAGACATTATGCGCAAATTAATTTGTTCTGTAGAGTTCTGTCCATAAGTTAATATAAGAACCGTTTTTAACAAATCACCCTTTATAAACTATAAATCTATACTTATATATGGTCACGATTCATATTTTGATGGGATATAACACTTGTTTAGTAACAGGTATGGAATATTCAACGTTGAATTTACGAAACTGTTGTTACACGGATTGCTCAAAAGTGCAAAACGGGTATGGGGATCTATTTATATTGAAAACCCATAAACTGAAATATTTTACCATCTTCCTAATCACAATACTAGCTTTCAGGCGGAAATTCCTGCTATCGTGGAATGTATAAAACTGGTTGTATTGAATATGGTGCCAATAGTGATTAACATATTAGAGCAATATTAAATCTAAGACTGTATAGGACTATAGAAAAGCCATAACTGAATACTGAATGTATTGGACTGCAAAGAGAGCCATAACTGAATATTGAATGTATTGGACTTCAAAGAAAGTCATAACTGACTTTCTTTGCGTGACTGCATGGATATAATTGCAAATGAAAGAGCGAATGCCCTTGCTATGAAGGAAAGGGAGCTTGAGGGAATAAACTAAACGAATGCAAAATCGTTCGACACAACGAGGTCAGAAAAAGTACTTTTTTGAAGGTTGATAGCAGGCATGGGGGGTAATGATTACACAAAGTAATTCATTACATGGTCAATTACAATTTCTTGTAATGTGTAATTGAGCAATAACCAATTGCAATTACTTGTAATTGTAATGTACATTTTTCCAAATACTTGTAATGTGTAATTGAACAATAACCAATTGCAATTACTTGTAATTGTAATTGAAGTTTTCCCAAATACAATTACTTGTAATTGTAATTGAAATTTTCCAATTAAAATTACTTATAGTTGTAATTAAGGTATTACTAATTACAAATTACATGTAATTATAAGGGACAAAATTCACAATTACAAGTAATTGTAATTGGAAATTCTTCAATTACAATTGTAATTGTCAAAACTTCAATTACAATTACATATAATTGTAATTAGCAAAACTTCAATTACAATTAAAAGTAATTGTAATTAGTAAAGCTTTAATTACAATTACTTCAAATATAATTGTAATTGAAAATGTGGCCCCCCAAGCCTGGTTGATAGTACTTTTATCGTTTTCACTTCAAAAAGGGTTTATTATACCCTACACCACTATAGTGGGGAGGATATAATTGGAAAATATTGGTAGATATTGGCCACCATAAAGTATACCAATCGGCTCTTAGTCGATTTAGCAATGTCCGTCCGTCTGTGTGTCCGTATAAACCTTGTACGCACTCTCCAGGTCTCAATTTTCAAAATACTTTGATGAAATTTGACACATACTCTTCTTCGACCGGAAGACGAAGCCTATTGAAAAAGGTTAAAATCTGCCCACGATGCTCACGATGAAATTTTGCATAAATAACTTTAATGTACATGTAAATCCCTCTACCAAAATTTATATGGATATGACCATATATGCGCCCTGCCCCATATAACCCCTCTTTAAGACAATCTCTTTTTTTGGTAAAAAAAATGTTAAAATATTTCTGAATTAAGATAACAATCAAAATGAATGCTTTATTTTCAAAAAATAATCCAAATTTTTAACGAAATCACTGCTGTAGGGTATCATATGGTCGGCCATGCCCGACTTGTTTCTGTATAGAAGTAATTTATACCGAATTCCATTGCTATACTATTGTTTATTGTGTATCTTAGACTTTGTATGGAGAATGAGCCGCGATCATTACAGAGTCATTAAAGAATGCACAGAACTTAATTTGAAGAGTCCAGTTGTATGAACCGATTTCAACCAAAATCCAAATTTCATTATTAAAATTGCGACCTGCACTTTGCGCTTTAGATTTATAAAACAAACCAGCTTGATCGACTCAAAAAGTGATTCTGAGTCGATCGATATACTTTAAGGTGGACACATACCCTCCCCACTATAGTGACGTAGAGTCACACCTCCTAAAAAATTAATTTATAAAAATGTTTGTTAGTTCTTTATTTGTTTTCACTAATCCATAAAATTGTTTTTAAATTCATTTGTTTAATTGTTTAAATAAATAATTAATGCTCCTTTAAAAGAAATAATAGACTAACAAATATTTTGTAAGCTAGTCTGAAGAAAAAAAATATATATAATTAAACAATAACAAATTACTAAATACAAAATAAACAAACAAAAAAATGTTCAAAAAACAACATTTCACACGAAAAGTCCATTGATCAAATAGGTATAAACAAATAGGCTGCTACTTTTGCAAAGAAATTCAAACAAAAAAGCACTCAACAACAATAGAAAAATAATTAATTAATTAAATAAAAATTATTTTTTTATGTATTTGTTTATTTCACAAGCTTTTATTTGTTTGCAAAAGCAAATATTACATTTGGACAGCAACCAAAAAGATCTCTTTTTACTCTGATGGCTGTCTGTCTGTCAGTCGGGTTTGTTGTTAATAATTTTAACCTTGATTTAGTTAAAATGTGCAAAAGACACAAAAATACAAAAACAAAATCAATTTAAAAATTATTTCACGTTTCTTGTTGGGCTATTTTGGCGGGCATTTTTTTACATGAATATAAACATAGTTAGAAATTAATAGTTTAATAAAATATTTATTTCGGTTTTTTTGCATATTTTATTAAAATTAAAATACGCAGGGAAGAAGAGTACACAGTTAGTTATTTGTGCAAAAAAAAATCAAACATAATGTTAATGAATTTTATTTATTTATACTAAAATTTGGCATGAACTTGCAAAAATTGACATTTAAATTATTTTTGGTTCGTTACTTATTGAATTTGGGTGAAGATCACACACTGAATAGTAGTACTGCGTAGTCATTTGATTTAAGTTAAATATTCGAAAAATAAAATCAAAATATTTAATTGAAAATATTGAACGCATATTGTCTATGATTCTGAAAGTGTGTGTGTGTGTGTGTATAAATATTGGGGTTTTTTGGGCTAAGTGTCAAATAAATGTCAAATGAATAAACATTTTGCAATAAAGTTAATTGTCTAAAATATCTTAACTATAAGAAAATTTTAATGATTGTAATTTTAACTAAAAGAAATGAATGTTTTGACAATTTTTTAATAAATCATAATTGAATATGAAGTGATCTTCGCTCGAAAGTCTTATAACAATACTTAAATACGAACCGATCTTCACGAAATTTATTAACTAATTAGAACGAATTACCAAATAAGTTATCAAGTAAGCGTTCGTGCCGATACAATTCAATAGCGAATTTAATATAAAATTTACTAGACTTCGTTACCACGACAATTGGATCTTCGCTCGGGAACGTCGCCGGTCTTACTCGGACAAAGATTGTCAATACAGGGACAGGTGTATTAACCGAAAGTTTTTTGCCGGGAAAGAACTATCGGCCATAGTCGAACAACATTTCGTTTTCGATATCGAATGTCATCACTTCAAAAAGAAAATTACGATCAATTTTGCTCCATCACTTCTGAGGTAATTAGGCCTCTTGATAGGGATAGGGTAATTAGGGACCGATCTTCAATAAATGGCGTACAATTGAATCTTAAATTGAAATTCACAAGAATGTCTTATATAAAACCCAAATGTATCAATATAACAAATCGATCATTCGTCAATTAAATGCCAATATTCACACATAATTTAAACTCTAATCTTTAAAATAGATAATTTCTTAACGTTAGATCATTTACTTACATCTTCAAAATTAAGCAACAATTTATATTTATTATATTTGTCAGCATCATCACAGTCATTAGCTTTGGAACAACAGCTATTATTTTGTGTTAACAAATCAGCAGCTGGTGAACCATGTCCCAATATATTTGGCTCTTCATTATCCGGAAATTGATGAGAATCTAAGGCTGAAACATGTCGGGGGCCTTCATTCTAGAAAAATTCAATAAAAGAAATAAAGAAAATATTAATTTATAAATATAAAATAAAAAAGCAAAGAATTTCAATTTAAAACAGAACAAAAAAAAAAGAATAACTATAAAAAATAGCATACAAGTGATCATTGTGCACAAAATACACTGAGACATAATTAACATTGATGAAGGTTAATTCTCATCTCATCTATTCAGAACGCATTTTCAAAATGCTAAATTTCCGCATTCGTTACCTTTTTTTCTCAATGGACTGAGTACTTAATGCAACTTCTGTGAATTATCACTTTTATTATTGCTGTTGTTGTTAGGTTCTTTTGTTAATAAAAATACCAAAAGAAATTAATTAAATTCTATTTTTTTAAATAACCATTTACGTTAAATATTCATAGAAATAGAGAAAGAAAAAATGCATCAAATTATTTGTCTGTATTTTAATATTGACCCATAATATCGCCCAGTGTTGTAATACACGATCAACAAAAACAAGTTTATTGTCGACTACAAAAACAATTGCAACAACTACAAATCTAGCCATATTATAATTAAGTTGGCCATTTTTGTTGAATGTTAAGATCAGCCGATTTTTTCTTCTTTATTCGTATTTGTCTTTTTTTTATTGAAAATACTATGTATAGTATTTCCTGGAATAAAAATATGCAAACTTTAATATATTAGACATATTGACCCAAATAATCAGACGTAACTTATTGCAAAATCGATATAATGCTCATTAATATAGTATTAACAAGTTGGAATATATAGTTGGGCCTGGCCGACTATATGAAACCCTAAACCAGTGAGTAGGGTAGAGCAATTTACGATGTCATAAAAGTTATTGATGCAGAATTTCAGTGAATTTTCAACTTCAAGCCATTTTCTGAAGGGAACTTTGTATGGGGCTAGGGCCCGATTATTACGAAAATTGGCAGTACCATTTAAACTTATATAAAACTAAGATTTGCCGATTTTTTAGAGATTCTACAACATTTAACATTTTTATACTGTCTCCCTATTCAGGGATCTCGGTTATAAGGGGCTAGGCGAAATAATGGGCCGACTTTAACCATTTTCAATAGGCTTTGTGTCAAAAGAAGAGTATGTGCCAAATTTCATAAAATTATCTTAAAAAATTGCGACCTGTAGCATGTGCACAAGGTTTACATGGACACACATACGGACAGACAGAGGGACATAGCTTAATCCACTCAGAAAGTGATTCTGAAAGTGATTCTGAACTTTAAGGTACAAGTTTTAGTTCACGCACAAAGTTAACTGGTTTAGTTGGTGAGAGTTTGAAGATGTCTTTTGGGAATAGCAAGACTGCACCCAATATCTTAGCTCTGCGAGATCCTAATGTTTGGCAGTTATATAAGATATGTTCTAAAGTTTCATCTTGTAGGCCACAGAATCTGCATAGATTCGTTGAAGAGTTGCCTAGAATGAATTGATGGTATCTGAGACCGCAATATCCAGTAAGTAATCCCGTTAGTGCTCTGAGATCGCTTTTATTGAGCGCTAGTTGGGATTTTCCCTTTGACAGTGTAATGAAACGTTTTGTCTGTCTGAGCCCTAGTATTACTTCCCAATGGCGAATATCCTCTGGAAAGGCCAAAGGGCATTCGGCTCAGGCGATTAGCGCCCCTATTTGCTTGGCAGTCTGCCCTTTCATTGCCAGAGTGACTCTCATGGCCAGGTACCCAACACAAGGTCAGTTTGTTGTGTTTACCTAACTCATAGAGTGAAGTCAAGCAGTCCATTGCAACACCCGACCGCAAATTCTATTGCTGCTGCTGCTGTTGTTGTTGACATTATTTGTTTTTGTTTACATTTTTTTAAGAATAAAATTACAATAACAAATTTTTAGAGGCAAATAGTAAACAAGTTCTATTGGTCTCTAAAAACTACTACAATAACAATGTGCAAAAAAATCATGCATACATACATGCATAAATAATTAATTATTACAAAACGCATTTATTTAATACAAAACTTGTATTTTATGACGTTGCAGTCTTTTCTAATGTTTTTCAATTACAACACTTGTGTTTTTCATATTTGAGAACAACAACAAATAAATCATTAATATTGTGCTAAAAAAAACTATAAAAAGTGGGTGTGTTTCCGCGTCATTCATATTAAAATTGTTTACGAAATCATTTGTTGTTGTTTTTTACACTTAGCGAAAAACAAGATCGAGTTTATTTGTGTAAATAAAGATTGAAATTTATGTTTTTAACCGGATATTCTAGATGATTAAAAGTAAAAAAATAACTAAATTGCACTTAAAATGTAGTGACAATATCAATTTGCATTGTTATCTTTAGAAAAATTTATAAAAACAAATATTTTAAATTGTAATTTAAGTGTCATTAATTAAATATCATATCTTATCAGTGTTGTAGTGCTGGCCATAATAAAAAAACACTTAATTTTATGAAAAAATAAAATATTTAAAAAATGTGTTAGCTTGGAATTATGATAATTTTCTTTTATAGATGATAGGGTTTTTATACCAATAACTGTGGGCACAAATTTCTCGTTATTTTGAGTCTAAAATTTAATTTTGAAGATATAATTTAGCAGACAATTCCCTAATGTTGGTTTGCTGAGTGTAGTTCTAAATATTCGAAAATATTCTAATCTAGAACATTTGTTTTAACTTCTCCCTACTTAAACTCCCAATTCTATGTCGTATTGCGATCTGATTTCATATTGGTTACAGCACCATTTTCCAACTTTAAGACCTGTTTATTGAAAGGCTACACCTAAGGCAGTTGCTAAGGATTCTGTGAAGCAAATTGATAAATTATTTAATAATTTTTCTATTGAAAAGTTGCTTAGAAACTGACCACTTTTTTTTGGAAAATTGCTCAGACTCTGACAACTTTTTCTAAAGAAAAGTTGTTCAGATTCTGACAACTTTTTATACAAAAGTTGCTCAGACACTGACAACTTTTTCTATAGAAAAGTTGCTCAGACATTAACAAATTTTAATATTAGAAAAGTTGTTCAGATTCTAACAACTTTCAACAGACTCCGACAACTTTTTCTGTACAAAAGTTGTTCAGATTCTAACAACTTTTTCTAAAGAAAAGTTGTTCAGATTCTAACAACTTTTTCTAAAGAAAAGTTGTTCAGATTCTAACAACATTTTCTAAAGAAAAGTTGTTCAGATTCAGACAACTTTTTCTAAAGAAAAGTTACTCAGGCACCGACACCTTTTTAAATTGGAAAAGCTGCTCAGATACTGACAACTTTTTATATGGAAAAGTTGTTCAGACACTGAAAACTTTTTTTAAAGAAAAGTTTCTCAGACTTTTTCTGTAGAAAAGTTGTTCAGGTTCTGACAACTTTCTTATACTTTCAGATACTAACCACTTTTTTTATAGAAAAGTTGCTCAGACACTAACAACTTTTTTTATAGAAAAGTTTCTCAGACACTAAAAACTTTTCTTAAAGAAAAGTTGCTCTGAAAAAAAGTTTTATAGAAAAGTTAGTCAGAAACTGACTGACTTTTTTATAGAAAAGTTGCATAGACTCCTACAACTAGTTCTATAGAAAAGTTGTTCAGATTCTGACAACGTTTTTTATAGAAAAGTTAATCAGATTCTGACAACTTTTTCTATAGAAAAGTTATCAGATTCTGACGTCTTTTATACAGAAAAGTTATTCAGATTCTGAGAACTTTTTCTACAGAAAAGTTTCTCAGGCTTTTTCTATAGAAAAGTTGTTCAGATTCTCACAACTTTTTGTATAAAAAAGTTGTTCAGATTCTCACAACTTTTTGTATAAAAAAGTTGTTCAGATTCTGACTACTTTTTCTATAGTGAAGTTGTTCAGATTCTGAAAACTTTTTTATATAAAATTTGTTCAGATTCTGACAACTTTTTTATAGAAAAGTTGCTCAGACACTTTTTTATAGAAAATTTTTCTATACAAAAGTTGTTCAGACACAGAAAACTTTTGCATTAGAAAAGTTGTTCTGACTCTGAAAAGTTTAATCAGACACTGACAGCTTTTTCAATGGAACTTAGCTTAGAATCTGAAAACTTTTCCTATAGAAAATTCAAACACTTACAACTTTCTCTGTAGAGAGATTTAGTAAGAACATGAAATTTAAAATTAAACTACATAATTTTGTCTGTTTTTTGTAGAAATATAGTTTTGCAACTGATTTATAAATGGAAGGAAAACATTGAAACGTTAAGTCAATAATAGTTCACTTCAAGTATAGACATATCAATATATGTACATATGTACTAAATATCTTGAAAATAGTTTCAGAAATTTGTTGAATACGTTGAGTGGAAATTTGGAAAAATAACTGTTTTCAAAAAGCAAACATAAAAGCAACAATATCGTACTCACAGAAATTTAAAAACAATTTTATTATTTTTATTTTTAAGTATAAAAATCATCGAACTCAAATTAAAAGAAAATATGTATTACGTCAATAAAATATTTAAATATAAAATAAATTATTTCAATTGTTTTCAAATAAAATGTATACGCATGTAATAAAAATAATTCATTGTTTTACATATGAATTTTTAACAATAAATTAATTTTGTTTATAATTTGTAAACAACATTTAAAAAATTTCCATTTTAATTTAAAAAAAAATCCAAGACCTTATGCATAAGCACATTTTTATTTTATCAAAGGTTTATAAAACAAATTTTATTTTTTTGGGTATTTTTGTTTGAAATTAAACTTAATTAAACTGCGTTTAACCTTGCCCTAAGTTAAACTTAAAAAATCGAAACAAACCCTAAATTTATTCAATGTGTACTCTACAAATATTAGTAATTAATTTTGTAAATATTTATTAATAGATTTGCATAAATTTATACTTTAAATGTGTATTTAGAAACCGTGTCAATTTTAATTAATAATTTTCAAAATCAAAGTTCACACTTCAGAATGCATTAGCAACAGTAAGAGAAATTTCATAATTGTTAACTAAACATTATTAAATTAAATATTTTAAACAAAATACGTAAATGCATTTTAAAATAAAAGTGTAAATAATAAATAATATTTATTTCAATGCAAAGGAAACCTTCGATAATGCTAATAGCGTGAAACAATTGCTAAAAATATTTTATATTATAAAATATTTTTTAAAATAGTAAATCGAATTAGAAGGTCTTTCCTTGTACTAAATTCCAGGAGTATGGTTCCTACTTTTTAATTGTAATACGTAAGTATATTTTTTAAAAAAAATTACCATTAATTTCTTTTTAGATTTCTTCAATTTATCGACCTTCTTTGTCAATTCTTGAGCTGTGATGGTTGTAGTTTCGGTTTCCATGTTTATTTTTATTTAAGCAATAAACTAAATAAAACTTTTTTAAAATCACAATTTAAAAACACATTTAGTTTATTTCAAAAATAATCTTGTTCATTTAACTAATTATAGAAAATAATTAACAGTTAATTTTGTGCACTTTGCAAAAAAACGCAAAATAACAAGAGTTGTTGCTTGTAAAAAGGAAGTTTATTTCAAAGTCACGCAAATTGTATTTGTGTTCAAAATCTCTGATTATTTATCGATCAGTTACAATTAGAAAATGTTTAAATTATAATAATCCGTTATTGTTTATAGCAACGAACACGTTGTTTTATCGTTGAGTGTTTATTTGTGTATATTTTTTTAATATTGAATTCCGCACGATAAACCGATTGCACGCAAAACTTAACTGAAACTAAATTTACAAACAAAAAAATTTAATTTAGCGATCGAAAAAGATCAGCAGCTAAATTACGCTGCCAAAACAACTTGTCAATAATACCTACTTATGTACAAGTACGTTTGTACGTATGTATGTACCTGCCTATAAACAAAGAGCTACAACAAGTATCTCACAGATACCAATTCTCAAACGCAGAACTACTCGTATTCGTACATTGTTTGCGAAGCATTTATTTATGCACTGTCGCAACGTCATCAAGTTTTTGTCTAAAAACTTTTATTATTTTTTTGTTCACATTTTACTGCTGAAGTAAACAACAATTTGTTTACAGATGAAAAATCTTTAAAAGATAAATTTGGTTTACATAAATTGTTTTCTATATAAAATTGGTTGATAAACCGCTTGAGTGCCCCCCCAAGTCATGAATGGATGAGGCCACGAGATAAAAGTTTTATAATTATTTGGAAATGTTATAAAAAATCTAAAATATATATTGTAAAAGATTTAAGGAAATAATTGCAGATTTATTGCTACATATAATTAGGGGTATTCACACATGTGCTATGGGTGAAAATAACATTATATGTTGGAAATTTTGAAGACTTTAGTTAATCAGTTGTATTATCATGTTATCCATTTAAATGCTAACTAATTTTTAGAGTCTTGAAGAGCTGAGCAGTATTAGTCCAATAAAAATAATAAATTACACAAAACATACAAACCTATATGAAACATATTTAAGATATGAGGCGGCGCTTACAGCCGAACGGCTCTTTACTTTAGGCGATAGCCAAAAGCGGTTATAGGACACGTCAACAATGTATACTGGACACATTGGACGTGCCTGATCTTATACCAGATACAGAATATGTTGGAAACTTTGAAACGCTGATCCCAGATAGAATGTCTTGGTCAAGCAGAACATTAGAGCAAATACCAGTAGGAATCCGTTGTTACATGGATTGGGGAACAAAGCGTGGCTGGGGTTCTATATTGAAAACCCAGAAACAGAAATATACCACCGTTTACCAAATCGTAACACAAGCTTCCAGGCAGAAGTACGAGCAATAACGGAATGCGTAAATTGGATTAGAATAAATATGGCGCCCACAGCGCCTAATATATTTACTCACAGGCAATTACGGCATTATCAAGTGATAGAACTAAATCTAAGACTGTATTGGATTGTAAGAAAGCTTTAACTGAATACTCTCTTAGAGGTAAGGTTTACATACCACTCGGGAGTAGTCGGCAACGAAAGGGCGAATGTAATAGCTTTAAAGGAAAGGGAGCTCGTGGCAGTTAACCTGACAAACGCAAAACCATTCGACGCAACAAAAGATGAACTAAAAATATGAGTGAGAGAATCCCATAAGGTCTCTTGGAATAATAAAACAGTGGGTAGAACCAAGAAGATCCTATGTGACTCTGATGAGACCAAGACGAAAAATCTCCTCAAAATGAGCAAGTCTGAAGTTAGTATTATGGTATGTATTCTGAGCACACAAGGATTACGAGCACACAGGATTACGAGCACATCTATGCAAAATTGGACGTGCGGATTCAGACGAATTTAGAGCATGTGGAGAGGACAGTGAAACTCTGGAGCACTTTCTTTACCACTGCCTATTTGTCGAAGTTAGATCCAATTATCTTGGAAGTGATGTTATTATAATAACATTCCTGACTAACACTGATTGGAAGATTCTTAGGAATTCCGTTCAGAAAACTGAGTTTCTGAATACATGATAATGAGCGCACAACAGGCCCGATAGCGGCCTAGGTGTATTTCTTCGGATTTGATGTAGTATACAACGTCCTATCAACCTAACCTATACGCGTTGTAGCGTATCATTACCATGCTGGAGGCTACTGCACAGTACAACGTAACATAGAGAACTTACTATGGATCAGCAAATAGTTTTGTAAACTCACGCTTGTGTTTGAGTAATAATTGGACTTCTTTGATCTCTTCAAAAATAATGCAATTAAAATTATATATTCTCATTATTTGAAATAAACCTTATCTCGTAGAAATAAACTTTCCTACAAGGTGTGAAACATTAATATTAAAAGACAAATAATAGGTATTTTCCGATTACTAACTTCTGCAATGAGAAACAAAATTTTTTTCGATCAGAGATTTATCTGAGTAATGTCTTATAAGGTCAACGTTTTAATGCCTGTGCTTTGTGAAATTACGGACCAGAAGCTGTTCTAAATGGCTCTTACCATGTCTTATCTTTTTAAAGACCTTCAGCTAGCAAATTTCTGTTTACTGATCAGTAAGTTAGGTTAATATATAGATAATACTTTAGAGTACAACTTCAGTTGGGTTCAGAAAGTCCCTTTGTAATGCATGAAAGGGAATGAAAAGAAAATTGTTAAATAGATCAGTATAGAAAGTCGACCCTAAAGTTTGATAACGATTTTTTTCAAGGTCCGGACAACTGCACAGAATATAAAGCTGTTGTAAATGGCTCTTAGCATGTCTTATCTTTTTAAAGACCTTGAGCTAGCAAATCTTTGTTTACTGATCAGTAAGTGAGGTTAAACATTCTGCTATTATACTCTAGAGTACAAGTTGTGTTGGGTTCAGAAGGTCCCTTTGTAATGCATGAAAGTGAATGAAAAGAAAATTGGGACGCCTTTGATTGTGGCAAGAGCCGGGCAACTGCACAGAATATGAGTTACGGTTTCCTCTTCATTATTACAACTTCTACAGAAATCATTGTAAAGAAACCCCATGCAGCTTACATGGTTTCCGAATTTGCAGTGAACTGAGGTAACTGAAATCAGAGCACCTAATTATAATCTACTAAGACGGCTGATTAGTAAGTAGATCGATAACAAAAAGAACAGTGCTAACTGTCTCGGCCCTCGGTTGCAATCACTGAAATTCTTCCGGAAGCCAAATATTAGTCTAGCCTAGACATCGATCTTTAAATCAATATTCTCTTCGCAAGTTATGAGTTTATACCACAGGACCAGTAGTGGACTTATAATACGGTCTATTTATTCTCAATATACGATGTAGAAAACCTGGATGGCTGTTAGATAATCTCATCCAATCCATTCCTGAATTCTGCAGTATTATTCAAGTAGTGAAAAAGATCTTAAACAGAACTCATTCTAGCATAAATAAATGGCTCAAAATTTTGATCATCATGTAATCAGGGTACAAAAGACATCTACATGATTACGTGTACCGGATTTGAAAACACAATTTCATCGACTTGATCTCAGTGTAGAGCAACCTGATTAAAATTATTTCTGATGTTACATGATCAAGGTCCATTACAAATAAGGTCTGTTACAAATTAATCGAATGAAGATAATTTGAGAACTTAGTACTCAATATGACTATATGCCAAAAATAGAGTATTGACGGTCATTCCCTCACTTCTAACTTCACGTTCGAGTCAATTATGCACAGATTCCTATAGAACTTAGTATGATAGTTTATACAAATTGTGATCGCTTTCCTCCTACAATGATATACATTAAGAGAAAGAAAGTCATTCACAAAAGTGAACCATATATATTTAACAATTAAAGTCAAATAAGGTCCGATCTTTAAAATACATATATATGTACATACTAAAGCAATCGTATCGAAATTTCTTGTCAATATGTATTATGAAAACTATCTACTCTGAACACCCCAAATAAAAGTATATTTCTCAGACAAGTACATATGCACTTGACACATAATGTCTCTTATCTGTCTCTTTGCTTCAGTACTTTTTCAAAAAGAAATATATACAAAAATTATGCACAAACAATTTTGCCAAAAAAATACAGTGTATTAAAAAACTTTAAATCAAAATACAAAAAAAGAGAAAAGTGAACTATAGACACACATATTTTTCGTACACACAAATTCATAGTCAATTTAAATTTCAAGGTCAAATAAAACGTAACGATTTATTTACAAAGCCAGGGTTAAACGTATTTAAAATGCATTGTAAATTGGTAAAAACAAAATATTTTTTTTTGGTATTTTTAGTTTGTTATGTATTTCTTATGAATTATTTTTTACGCACATAAATATTTTGAGTATTTTTTATCAATGGCAATTGTTTGTGTTGAATTCCATGAGTTGAAGAAGTTCAGTCACATAAAATTGTGACACTTTGTCCAGAGAATAAGACAGTCAGCATCCAATATTCAATGAACTTTGTAGAGTGAAGTAAGTGTTTTTTGATGAATTACACTGTTTCCAAATTTATAATAATATGTTGGTTGTTATCTGCTCTGTGTTAGAAGTTATTATTTATTGATTTTGTTATTCTGTGTATAACACTTCGAAATCTTTTTCATTGACCCCATGTAGTAAAATGTCCTAGGTTCCTGTAAGATTGTTAGGCGCCCGTCTGTCGGTCTTTCTGTCTGTCGTAGTTGCAATAGCTTCCACAAAAAATTCTAGAGGGATGAAAGGTATGACTTTAAAGTGTTATTAGAATCAAAGTCACTCCACAAAATATCATGAGGATCGGACCACAACACTCGTTAATAAATGTTCAACTCAGAGATCAAAGTATGTATACTTCTCCAAAGGATTGAGCTGTATCAAAATCTCATCTCAAAAATGGCCAAAAACAAGGTTTTTATCAAAATTTAAGACACGTTACCTGATATGATCAAGAAATTTTGAGGCCAGCTAGGAATTTACCGAACTAAACTCGATAGTAGCACAAGACTCACCATAACATGTTACCTTTTTTGTAGGGATAGGTGATCGAAGATTGTAAGGCTCCCGACCGGTTACATAGGGCTCGATTTTTCATTGAACATTTGAAATTTAAAAGGTTTGTGCATTTTATACCAACAACCTGATATATGTTTCTGAAGACCAACATATACATACTTAGGTACAGACGCTAGTAGATTTGCAGTACAGCCAGATGTTTATAAAAGTATATCGTGGTCTCTGGGTGTTAACTTTTTACATTTTTGTCAGCCTGTCTAATTGACCGCACTCCCAGATAAATGCCAATGCTGTTGGCTCAAT